TCAATTTGCTAGTCGAGTCCACGACTAGCCACTAATTGAGTCCACAATTAGTCATAAGGTTTCTTACACAAGCGTAAAGAAAAACTTAAGAATTTTATTGAATTAAAGCCTCCCCGAAACTGATATGGATGTGCCCTATTTATAGGTATAGGGGCAGCATTATAATTCTAAATACAATGGGAAAAAGAGTCCTAAACCTAATCTAGAAAACAAGTAAATAGAGTTTTATTTAGAAAAGGATTTAAGGAATCCTTTCTAAATACAACTAGTGTTTTCTCTTTTATGCCAAACAATTAAAATTAATGATGACCAAAAATAATAGGGCTGATTTGGGCCTAATTTAATCACCAAAATCAGCACTTAAACAATTATAATAAGCCTTGAATTCTTCTTCATCTTTTGAAAATGGGCTTGACTTGGATTTCCACCATCTTTGAATATCACCAATGAAGAGTTGTCTTAATCGTTTGGACTTGGGCCTTGTGATTGGACCAATTGGTACTCTTGATGGATCTTCATTATGTTGGACCGCATCATCCTCCCCTTCTTGAAAATGATTCGACCTCGAATCTTGTAAGCATTGTCTTCGATCCATGATATCACTTGAAATTGGCCACTATAATACTTTCCTCTATCGAATAGAATTATTATTAGGCCTTCTTGTTTCTTCCACCAATGATTCTTTAAGGATGTAGTTATGGGCCTTGTGATGAGCCCACTATAGACCCTTATTGGATTCCATGTGTACTGGTTCTTATTAGCCATCATGAAGAACAAGCTCGGGGAAGAGAAGGTCTGGTCCGGCCAACGAGCGATGCGGGTGGAAACCTGAACAATAATGGAGGAGGTATTCGAGGGCGAGGATCTGAAGGCAGTGCTGACCACTCTTCCAGAGGAGATCGCCGACCCCGGGCCCACGCCCTTTTCCGAGCCATCCACATCAGGAGCCGCGGCCGAGCCAAGTGCTAACAAAAAGGCTGAAGGGAAGGTCGTGTGATCACCGACGGACCCAAAAGCTTATTTTATTTTGTAACAAATTTTTGTTATCTTAACTCAGTCGAGATCCCGGTCCCGTTTGTATCGGGCAACTCTTTAATTTTTAAATGAATGACCCGGTTGTTTATTGTCTATTGCTTCTTTTATTATTATCATTACTTTTTTACGTTTTTGTGCTTGTTCAAGCTTAAAGTTTTTCGCTCTGCGTCTTATGCTCGATCTATAAGTCGACCAAGTCTTATGCTCGATCAATCTTATTTGCTAGCCCTATCCATTAGCCTTAGCCCCCACACTGCCGGACGTACGAGGAACGAGTGAGTGCGACAGTGGTTAAGAGGTCAATGAGCGTTGGGAGTGATCGAGCGCATACCGCTCGCCATGCTTTATCTGACGAGCATCATAAACTGCGAGCACATACCGCTCGCCATGCTTTATCTCACGATCATTATAAACTGCCCGGCTATATTATTTTTCTTTTTGCGACTTTTAATGTCATTGGGTTTTTACCCCTATCGGTCGGTGCCGAGAGGTTTTTACCCTTATCGGTTATAGCCGAAAATTTAGACCCCGGTATTATCAGGCAAGTTTTAGCGACGTTGTGGTCGTTGGGCATTCGCCCGTCTTGATCGTTGACGCTGAGTCTTGGGAATAGGCGATCAGTTAAACCACGATCAAAGTCAACCTCTGGAATTGATTTAATAATCTACTTACTATTTACATATTTCGGTAACCAATCGAGCCCTCGTACACAGACGAGCGAGCAATCATCGATCGGTGATACACAATTAAGTCCCATACGCAGACGGTTAAACATTCAAACATTACTTTATACATACAACAAAAGATGGGCGTGCACACTCGCAAGCCCCCACCCCATCCAAACATACATACGAAAGTTTAATAGCGATACAACACTAGATTCTCTGAATTCCAATTTCCCTCGATCGATCTCCCGGTAGTTGTTTCCAGACAGTAAGTGCCCGGGCAGACGACCGATGTGACCAAATACGGTACTTCCCAGTTTTGGGCAAATTTGCCTCCTTCAAGGGGTTGACTTGCTGCTCGATGTCGTAGTACATAATCCCCCACCTGAAAGTAACGTGGTTGGACCCGGACGTCTTTAGTGCCCTTCACTCTCTATTGATATTCAGCCATGCGTCGAGCGGCTATTTCCCTTTTCTCTTCCACACTATCTAGGTCCACGGCCAAGTAATGCTCGTTCTCTAATGCATCATAAGATCGCTCTCTAGCCGTTGGGATCCAAGCCTCGATAGGCAGCCGAGCTTCGGCGCCATAAACTAATGCAAATGGAGTTTCTTTCGTTGCCTCTCAGTGAGTCGTACGATAGGTCCAAAGCACAAACGGGAGTTCCTCGGCCAAACTCCGACCGGCTGAGTGTAATTTCTTCTTCAATCCCTCTAGGATGGTTCGATTGGCATTTTCTACTTGACCATTTCCCTGAGGATAAGCTACTGATGATCGGATTGAGGTCGTCCCGATCGTCACCAAGAAGTTTTGGAAATACCGACTCACGAACTGCTGACCATTATCACTGATCAATTGAACTGGGATGCCAAACCGAGAAACGACATTTCGCCATAAAAAGCGGGCACACTGTTGGGAAGTGATCGTGGCCAAAGGCTCGGCTTCGATCCATTTAGAAAAGTAATCAATTGCGACAATAACAAAGCGTCGACGTCCAGACAACTGCGGAAAGGGCCCTAATATATCCACCCCCCACCGAACGAATGGGATGGCAGTCGTGACCGGTTGATAGAAAGTTACAGGACGACCGGGCATCCGGGCATACAATTGGCACGTCTCACAAGCTTTAGTGAGCTTCTCGCAGTCTAATTGAATAGACGGCCAACAATACCCGATCACCATTATGCGACGAGCGAGTGATCGTCCTCCTTGATGCGATGAACAGAGACCCGAGTGCAGCCTATTCACGACCAGCTCCGCTTCGAACGAATTGAGGCATCGCATCAAGGGACCACCGTATGACCTCCGATACAAACGACCTTCTTGGACCTGAAATCTCGGTGCTCGTAGCTTAGCTTTCCGAGCGCGTTGTGGGTCGTCCGGCAAACGATCATGCTGCAAATACTCCATCAAGTCGGTAATCAAAGTTTCTTCGACCGGTTGAATTGGGACGACCGGCAGTCGATGGATGCTGTGTCTTGGAATCATTAAAATTCGAGCAATCTTGGACATGTGCTCTGGGGCATCTTGCGCCAACTTCGACAAGGTATCTGCATCAGCGTTATCTAATCGGGGAATATGCCAAACAACATATGCTCGAAATAGGTTGAGTTTCTCGATTGCTAAGTCCTGATAAGCTTGCAGTCGCTCACCATTGACTTCATACTCTCCAAGTACATGTCCGACCACCAGGGCGGAATCTGTTTGCGCTCGAATGTAATCAGCCCCCAGGTCCCGGGCACATTGTAGCCCATTGATAAACGCCTCATACTCTGCCTCATTATTAGTGGGTGTGAACTGATACATCAAGGCGTAATAGACCTTAAAGCCTTCCGGGCTCGTGACCGCGACTCCTCCGCCCGCTCCTTTTTTGCTGCTAGACCCATCAGTGGCCAATATCCACCAAGCCGCTTCGGGGTCTTCTAAGTATTGAGGTTGAGTGTCCCGAGCGGTGCATTCGAAGAGAAAATCGGCCAAGGCTTGACCTTTGATTGCTGGGCGCGGTCGGTATTCCACGGCAAACTGAGTCAACATCAACGCCCACTTCACTAGGCGTCCGGAAGAAGCAGTGGTGCGGAGGACAGCCCCGATCGGCTGGTCGGTCAAGACGCGGATAACTCGTCCTTGAAAATAGGGGGCCTACTTCTTGGCAGCTGTATACAATGCGTAGACAACCTTCTCCAACTGGGAATAACGAAGTTCTGGACCATGCAGTGCATGACTTACATAATACACCGGTCGTTGAATGCCTTCTGGATCAATTCGGCATAGCACGGCGCTGACCGCTCGATCGAATACGCCCAGGTAAACGTCCAGTTCCTCCCCTGGCTCGGGTTTGGATAACACGATCGGGGACATCAAATAATCTTTCAAATCTTTGAAAGCCGATCGACACTCATCATCCCACACAAATCCATTGACCTTACATAACACCTTGAAAAAAGGCAAAGCCCGTTCAGCCAACTTAGAGAGGAATCTGCTCAGAGCCGCCAATCGATCGGTCAACTACTGTACTTCTCTGACAGTCGTGGGCGGCTGCATGTCAAGAATTGCCTTCACCTTGGCCGGATTAGGCTCAATCCCACGCTTGGTCATCATATAACCCAAAAATTTTCCCATTTGGACTGCAAACGTACATTTGGTCGGGTTCAGACGTAGCTGGTACGTCCGCATGATCTGAAAGCATTGTTGGAGGTCCCGGTGTGATCCGCTCGGTCCTGGCTCTTCACAAGCATATCGTCAATATATGCCTCCATGGTTCGGCCCAGCAAGTCTTCAAACAACATGTTGATCATACATTGGTACGTAGCTCCTGCATTTCGCAAACCGAATGGCATAACTCGATAACAATACAATCCATCGGGCATGACGAACGATGTTTTACTTTCATCCTCATGACTCATCATGATCTGGTGGTAGCCTTTAAAAGCATCCATGAAGCTCATCAACTCCGCCCCAACTGTTTCACCTACCATCTTATGGATGCTCGGTAGCGGATAAGGGTCTAACGGGTATGCTTTGTTCAGATCAGTAAAATCGATGCACATCCTCCAAGATGGGGGCTTGGGAACCAATACTATATTGGCCACCCATTCGGGATAGGTGACCGGTCGGATGTGCCCGATTGAAGCCATCTTTTTAACTTCTTCCCACACGAACTCCCTTCGATCCGAAGACAAGTGTCGGGTCTTTTGCTTGATTGGCTTTGCAGCGGGGTCTACGGCTTATCGGTGGCATATCACGGTACGATCAATCCCGGGAATGTCCTTCGGGCCTCACGCGAATATATCAGCAAATTCCTAAAGGATAGCCATGACCTTTAATCGAAGCTCGGGGGTCAGAGCTCGACCGATCTTGACCTTTCGTTCAGGTCGGTCTTTAGACAATGAGACTTCTTCTATTTCCTCAAAAGGTTCGAGTTGCTCCTTTCGGTCTCTTTCGACCTCTTTGATGATGGTATTCACTCCTGAAGAACCTGAATCCTGCCGATTGACCGCTCGGGAATAACATTTCATGGCCGATTGGGTATCCCCACGCAACACTCCGACCCCAGCCGAGGTGGGGAACTTCATGCAAAGATGGGGCATGGATATAATTCCCCCGACCCTCATGATTGTCGGGCGACCCAAGATAGCAATATGGACACAACGAAAATTGACCACAACAAACTCCATTTGTGTTTTGACCGACTTAGGAGGTGTACCAAATTCGACCAGCAAGGTAATTTTTCCTTCGGGGTGGATAGTGTCCCCAGTAAATCCAGACAAAGGTGCTCCGACCGGAGTCAACGCTCGACGATCAAGTTTTAATTTTTCAAAAACGTCCAGGTATAGTACATTCACGTTACTTCCAGTATCGACCATCACCCTCTGCACGTCCACGCCCATGATATCAATCGTGACGACCAGAGCCTCCATCCCCGTATCTCCGGTCTCGGGCTGATCTTCCAGCGCGAAGGTGATTGGCTCCATTTTTTGTCGCTTGCCGATCTCACGAGATTCCACGATCGCAACCGGGCAGGGTTCTCGGGCTCTGCAGGCATCTTCCAAGCCCCCAAATATGACGTGAATGGTTGGCTTAGACGCCGGACGGCCGTCGGACTTGGGATCGAGGTCTCTTTGGTCGTGGTCCGATCGGTCAGAGCGATCGGACCGCCGATGGTCTCTTCTTCAGTAGATCTTTTGCTCTCTTCCCATTTCCCCACGCACTTATCCAGCTTTCCCGCTTGAAGGAGGTCTTCTAATAACTGTCTCAGAGTCGTGCATTCTTCAGTGTCATGCCCAGCGCATCGGTGATAAGCACAGTGCTTTGACTTGTCCTTCCCTTCTTGCCCAGGACGTGGTAACCGAATGAGATTGCATGATTGAGCATATTGCAGGGCTTCCGCGGCCGAGCGGTTCAAAGCAGTGAAGTCGTCCGGGCGAGTTCGGGATCGGATGTGTTCTGCCGACCGATTGTCCAATCGACCAGGGGGCTTCCGGGATGAACCAACTTCCTGTGACCGTTTAACGGCATTGGCTTCTCCGGCGTTGGCGTAGTCGGTCACTCGGCGAAGAGCTTCTTCATACGTGGTCGGGGGATGGAGTATGAAGTTCTGATATAAATATCCGGCTCTTAAAGAAATATGCAACATATGGATCGCGGTGAGATCATCCATGGGCTCGACCTCTCCCACAGCCGCTTTCCATTTAACCAAAAAATCGGTTAACGTTTCCCCTTCCAATTGCTTAGCCTTCTCCAGGTACATGTAAGGCTTCCGGATGATTTTCGACGTCACAAACTTCCGATTGAACTTCATCGCCAGGTTAGCAAAGCAGGATATAGACCCTGGGTCCAACGTTTTAAACCACTCGGCCGCTCGTCCAGATAACGTCGAGTAAAAAGCTCGACACATCACGGCATCACTCACATCCATCATAAGCATGTTCCCATAGTAGGTGTTGATGTGGACCTCCAGGTCTGTTCGACCATCATATTCCTTATTACTGGGAATGCGCAGGTCGAGCGGATACGGTTGAGCCATGATCTCGGTGGTGAAAGGGGTCCGTAACAGTGAGGCGGCGTTATCTGAAGGCCTTAAAGCGTGTTCATTTTGCCACCGAGTAAATTCTGCACGGTGCTGGTTCACGAGCCCAGGTATCGTCTTGCTTAGCCGTACGGGCTGGTTCACGAGCCCGGCGACGACGATGCACCTGAGGTCCACTGTGTCCTAATGATCCCGCTTGCATATGTGAATCGACCGATCGCCTATCCGGGTCCTGTGGTCCCAATCGTTGACGCATTGCCGGCCGAAGTCGTTCAAACGCGCTCGCACGGTTATCCTGTGGCTGGGGTTCATCCACCGCCTGGGCATGTATTTCCTGTTGTGGTTCCTCTATGGCCCCCGCCCCCTGCAATCCCAACCTCGAGCGAGCCGAGCGCCTAGTCCAGGGACTGGGCTGAAGCTCGGGCTCGGTCTGCATTGCTGGTTGGCTCGGGGAGCAGAAGCTAGAGCCGTGTACGCAGGCATATAAGGTTGATAGTTACCGGGCGGGTAATACATTGGGGTCCCGGGCCAACGAGCATATTGGGTCGGTGGTACAGGATGTGGATAGTATCCCGGGTAGGGGAATTGCTGACCAGGTGGCGGATACATCGGTTGGACATAATTGACCGCATTAAGAGCTACCGAGTGAGGTGGAGAAAGATTGAGGTTGAGGTCGACAGTCTGACCGTGTTGTTGTGTATAATGGTCGGATGAACTAGCTTCTTCATCCTCTTGTTGTACATGAACGGATACATGGTTGAGGTTTGATACGCATCACGAACGACTTTTCGTACCGATCCCCACAGACGGCGCCAAAATGATAGTACTAATGTCCACGTGTATGCGGTCTACGTACTGGATGTCAAACGATAATATGATCAAAAGAGGTTATCTCATATAAATGGGTGACCTAATACAATCTAAATGACTACTCCGAGGGCTGACTGACTAAGGTCGGGCAGCTCTGTAAGTAGCCTATTGATCGTTCAAAAAGTCCCCCTCACTTTAGCCGCCGTGGATATTTATAGCCTCTAGCTGGGAACAACCCTCCGGCCTACCGGCATGTAATCCACGTAACATCCACGTGCCCCAACCTAGTGAACACTCTCTGTCAACGCCTAGCGCCGCCACGTGCCCCTCTCTAAAAGATACTGCCTCTCCGTAAAACAAAGGTACGGTGGTCGTGCAGAACATCGGTTGGGTCCGACCGTCTTCGACAGAAGGGCAATACGAAGGGTACATGGACGACCGGTACCGACCATCCCTTCGCTGCAGCACTCGAGCCAAGGAACTTGTACTAACCCACATAGAGAACATCTCAGGTCGGTCGGGATATATCCTACCACTGTCCATGTACATTAAGCTTTATTTTTATGAACATATACAATGAATATTAAGAACCTAATATAAATGAATGAAAATGCATATAATGTATATTTAGACATTTAGTTTTGTGTTTATGGACACTAAGGTTTGATTTATGGACATATAGAACAAACATTATGAACATAGTCTATGATAATGTTATTAAATATGATGTACTAATTGATATTTGATATAAAACGATGTCGTTCTGTACCAGAATCCACCATGAAAGGTGACCCTTGTCCACCACGGAAGCAACATGCATGACCTGCATTTACTAAAGAAATATATTATCTTGAAAACCTAAAACACTACACATAGCCTGCATTTACTAATATTACATTATATTTAGTGTAATATAGTTTAGTATATGCAAATTTCAATACTTTTGGGCAACCAAATACATTATTTGTTGTCCTGACTACATTTAATTAAAATTTTCAAATTCAAAATTTGTGTCTAGCAAAGTCACTTTGCACTCTAGCTTTTAGATGTCCCTTAGCTTGCTTATAAATACCCACAAATTAGGTTCAGTCTTTCTGATTTTTTTTGTATAGTTCTCTTTGTATGCCCATGGTATTTTTGTAATTTGACAAGTGATGAGTTTATGATCATTTAAAAAAAAAAATTTTAATCCCAATACTAAGTCATTATAAATCAAAATTTGATATTAGGTACTATATATACTTTATTATAATAAGATATTGTTAGAATATTATATCATATTTTGTGTATTTATTTATTTACATTATTTAAATTTGTTAAATAATATAATTATTGAATATATATTATTACTATCAGTGCATCACACCGATGCTATACTAGTTATGAGCTAAAAGTTAATAAGATTTAATTATAAAATTTCAAATTTAATCTATAACATGAAGAATTTATTGACTTTCTTGATTTAAACAAGTCAATTATGTATCGATGGGATATGTACCCCGAGGATCGGATGGATGAACGACCCGGGCAGAGCAGTGAGCGATCAGATTACAAGTTGGGGAGTACCAAGAGAAAGAAGGGATATGTCCTCCCAAGGCCAAAGATGGTGAATGCTGATCTTGCTAGGATCATCAACTCCGAGAGGCTATCTTGCCGGAAGAATGTCTGAATTGGTCTTGTGGAGTCGAACGAGTAAAGGAGGCAGCCTGCAGTTGACCGCGTGAAGGAGGCATCCTGTGCCCGATTGAGTGATGGAGGCGTCTAGGAGTCGAACGGAGCAGAATGAGGAGTCGGACAAGGTTATCCGAGAGGATAAAGGAGCCGTGAAGAGGGGTAGTTAGTTAAGGCAAACCAGGTAAAAATCGGAGCTGAGGCCCAGTGCTAGAAGGAGTCGGCAGGAGATAGCCGGAAGGTGGAAAGTCTGGACAGTCCATTGAGATGATCCATTAATGCATAATTAATGAGGATTAAAAGCCATTATGAGGCACACTGTGGAGGAGGGAAGAAGTCGGCCATGATTAGGATGTAATTAAGGCGCTTACTATTCATTATTAGCTCATTAACTAAATGTGAATAGCTCATTAACTAAATGTATTAATGACCAGGCTGAGTTCAACGGTCACTCGAATCGCTATAAAGGCCTAGACACTATAAAAAGGGTTATGTAATTTCAATATACACAAGAGAATTTGAGAGTACATTCTGAGTGCCTTTTAATATTTTCTGATAATCTACCATCTTTTTTGATTGTATTGGACTCCCGATAAACTACTCAAAAGTTTAACAACCCAACAATGGCGCTGTCCGTGAAAATGGCTTTTCCCTTACGCTAAAAATCACTTTTTCCATATTCACTAATTGGCCGTTACGCAGCCAAGACGAGGAACTGCTTATTCAGAGCTTCTCACCCTTTTTTTTTACTGATCATATCTTTGCCGCCGACCACCTTTCCATCAATAGCTTCTGGTCGACATAGACGGAGCCAGAGGGGGGGCAGGGGGGTCAGCTGCCCCCTCCTCACCCCACCCCACCCCTACCCTATATTGTATATAATATGTATATATAGTACATTATTCATATAAGTATTATAAAATAGATTATGTAACCAAAAGTTGTGATAGACAAGGTGGTAGCTAACATATATGAGTTTCGGAATGACCTGGGTTTGAGTCTTTTGTATTGGCAATGTTATAGTAGTTTTGTTCAATTTTTTGATTAACACAATTAAATTTTGGCATGATATATATAACTTTTGATTAACACAATTAAATTTTGGCATGATATATATAACTTTCATTATAACTTTCTTTATATTAATAATGGAATGTGTAATTTATAATGTGTTTTATATTCGAATTGTTTTATCAAATTAATTATGTTTCATATTTTGTTATAAATATTTTTATAAAATTTTAATATGTTTTATTTTTCGCTATATCCAACAATATTTATTGTTATACTTCTTAAGTATTTCAATTTTTTTTAAAATTTTTTCTTTTATTTTAATTTTTTTCCCTCACTAAAAAAAAATTCTGAATCTGCCATTGAATCCATCCCTACTTCTTTGTCCCCCTCAACATATTTTCTGGCTCCGTCCCTGCTGGTCGACCATTTTCATGTAGCGGACTACTCCCTTACTCCCAACAGATCGAATTCGATCCATACCCATCTTTCATGGTGATTTTCACCCATCTTTAAAGACACTTCCGGAGGGCCATATTCTTATGACCGTCTGCTGCTTGCTAATCATATTGCTATGGCCGACTACTCCATCTCATGCACTATGTTCACCTCTGAATCTGAACCAATAAAGTGACACTCTGACAGGGCTTTTGGGTCATCCGAATCTATAGACAAGATGACATAGCGATCATTACCTATATCTTTAGGATCAAAAACCGAAAGAGAGCCGTCAATCTCATCCATTGTAGACCAGAAGGGTTGAATCTTATCCAGAAGCTGTCTAAACTGTTTCCCAACATCTTTTAGCGTTGAGTTTGCCGACCATTACAAATTGAAGATGCACGGCACCTTACTTCTCCGACAAGCACACAACTTTTAGTTGCGGTGGAATTGACAGAGGCACGTAACTTTTAGTTGCGTATTCTCACAGATGGGGCCCAGGTTTTATGATGCGGAGTAGTTACTCGGCAGGTTAATATAACCATTAACCAATCCAATGAACATAAAATATAAAAGAATAAAATAAAATAAAGACAGAATTTTAGTGTGGAAACCAAAAGATAAAAACTACAGACATGTGCCAGGTCAAGAATTCACTATTTTGTTTATAGATTTTATTTTCTTTTTCCAAAAGGCTGAACTCCAACCTTGATAGATTTTATTTTCTTGAAAAGATGGAGCCGTCCCCTCTTCTCGTTCTTCACATGCATAACTTTTATAGTAGTAGGATGAGTCCCCTCTTCTCATTATTCACATAGCTTTTATAGTAGTATATAGTAGTAGGATGAGTAGTAACACAATAGCTACTATTAAATAGGTAATTAATAGAGGAATAATTATTAGGATTTATGGGTGATTATGAAAATTTATGGTAATAAATGAGTAATAATAGGATAATAAATGAAAGGTTATGAAGAATAATTAGCCAGGGCAAATTATGCTATGCGCACGTGCGCACCTTGCAAGGTGCGCACGGCGCTAAAACGGCGTCGTTTTCACGGAAAACGACGCTGTTTTAATTAAAAAAAAAATTGTTCGAAACGCCGTTAACGCCGTTAACGGCATATTCGTTATGAAATTATGAATATACAGTTATACATTATAAATGTACAGTTATAAAATTATGAATGTATAGTTATGGAATTATGAACTTACAATTATGAACATAGAGCTTCGAAAATTATGAATGTTCGGTATGGAATTATGAATATACAGTATGGAATTATGAATGTACAGTTATGGAATTATGAATGTACAGTTATGAAATTATGAACATAGAACTCTGACATTATGAACTTACAATTATGAACATAGAGCTTCGAAAATTATGAATTTACAGTTATTGAATTATGAATGTACAGTTACGAAATTTAATTATGAATTTACAGTTATTGAATTATGAATGTACAGTTACGAAATTATGAATGTACAGTTATAGAATTATGAATGTACAGTTATAGAATTATGAATGTACAGTTATGAAATTATGAACACAAAGCTGCTCCTATAACGAAGCGGTCTGAAATTAAATTGAAAAAAAAAAAAAAAAAAAAAAAAAAAAAAATGGGAAGATAACGGTGCCGCTGGGCACGAGCCCACAGCATAACTATCCATTAGCCAGCCAACTAGTCACGTCCCGTATTAACTGTCGAGTCTGAAATCTACTGTCGAGTCTGAAATCTAATTGCCTAAACTGCCCTGTTAGGTGATACCAACCAGGTCATCATGTATAAACAACCTATATTACCAAAATTTTTGTGATCAATATTATCAAACACTTTGGTATAATTGTGACTCTTCCAAATGAAAAGTCTCAAGCAGAAGTCTCAAGCAGATAACCTATGTTATTAATTTTAATTTTAAAGTATTGACATCAAATTTCTCTCTCTCTATATATATATATATATTTTTAGAGTTATATATATATAATTGAATCTATAACTAAATAAAAGTTGCATACAATGATAAAATTTCAATTTTTTGAGGGGAATGTAATAGGGCAACCAACGTAACATATATTTACATACACAAACGACATCGTTTCCTATCAAATTACATAAACTACCTACGCCGAGCGAGCATGCAATGCAATACACGCAATTTGACGAAAAGGCCCTTGACTACATGGGACTCCATACAACTAACCTTAATAATACACACATAAAACTGCTTAAAAGATAAATAAAACAAAGCAGAAATACATCAGTTTGGCTTGGGGTTTGACTTTGTGCCTAAATAAGTGGTGACCGCCTTTGTCCCCTCGGCAATGGCGTGCTTTCCCAGGTCTCCCGGCAGCACCAACTTGACGGCGTCCTGAATCTCCCTCGACGACAGCGTCGCCCGGGAGATGTACTTTGACAGCGTCGCCGCCTCCACCGCTATCCTCTCGAACATGTCTCCCATCAGGTTGTTGATCACCGTCATGGCTTTCGACGATATCGCCAAATCCGGGTGCACTTGTTTCATCACCTTAAACACGTACCTCTTGTACCCTTCACCGCTGCCCGCACTTCTCCCCCACCGCCGTTTTCTCTTCCTCTTGCCGCCACCGCCATCTCGTGGAGCACTTCTCGTGCTCCTATAAAGGAGGAAGTAATATATAAACATAAATATGCAATCCATAACATATAATGTATAAAACTGGTAGCTTATTATCTGTGACCCTTATACAAGACTTTCCGCGACTCTTGTACAAGAGGGTATGGTCAGGTCGCAGAAATTAAAGCTACCAACTTTCCTCCACCCTTCAAATTAAGACTTCATATAAACATTCAGTTCAACTATTAACTTAAACTGGTAAGACATTTTCTTGTGTTTAGTATATATATGTGTAGTTGAACTATCCGCTTAAACTTTTAATTGATATATAACATATGCTACAGTTTGGTATCAAAATTAACCAAGAAGTTAACCTTTTGGTTTGCTCTTCCTCTTTCTTCTTTGGCAGAGGCGGTGCCGGTATCTGTTCCGGTTCTGACGCCGGTTGTGTCTCGTCTTCTTCATTTTCTTGGTTTTGAAGCGGCGGCGGTGACTCGTCACCGCTCTTATCTTCAACGGGAATCGTTCTTTTAACTATGGGAGGTTCTTCTTGGGCCGGCGGGGTGGAAACCTCCACTTGTTCAGTTCCATTATCGGAAACCTGAGAGGCGAACGCGTCGACGTTTGGTTGGGATTGATACTCGGTTTCTCCGGCGGCGGCAGTAACCACCACTTGGACGGTTTCTTCAACCACTTTCCGGGATGTGACCACCGCGCTCAGCCTTCCTCGGCGCTTTCTGGGTGCCATTATTCCTTCTTTCTTCTGGGCATCTGAATATTCCCTCGCTGGATGGGGGGGCTTTTTGAAAGATAAATTTTGGAGAATTAACAGCGGTCAGGATTGCGAGGGACTGCCACGTGGAAGACAGGTGTCGAGAGAGTTGGTGTGAAAATGATTACGTGGGTTAAAACTGGAAGAGACAGGTTAAAAGCCGAAGACGATTCACGAATGTATTATTTATTGGGCCTAATAAATAGTCTCGTGACGATGAATTCATTTTTGGGCTTATTAGGCTGACAACAATTCAGCAGCCCAACTCAAGTAGGCATATCTATTGTGGCAATCATTATCAATTGTTATACAATGGATCATATGTATCTTTAGAGCTGTTAAAACGGAACCGTTACATCGTGGACAAGGTCCACAATGTACTGTAGACTATGGTTCTATACAACTTCATTTTGAACTTTAATTTTGACGATGACGGTTTGTTGTTCAATTCACGTTATAAAGGTTTTTTTTTCTTTTACTGTTAAGTATGTGTATGTGTCTCGTGTTATGCATTTTTGTGTTTCATGTTATGCAATTTTGTACCTTAAACGTATGAATTCTATACCTGAAATAAAGTAAATATAATATCACTTTTGTGTCTTGTGCTATGGGTTTGTGTATCTTGTGTTATGCGTTTTTGTGTCTTATATTATGCAATTATGTACTTTAAGAATATTGGTTCTGTACCTAAACTAAAATAAATAGAGAAAAGGGTCAAATAGGCCCCTAAACTTTACCCCAAAGATCAATTAGGCCCTTAAACTTTAAAAAAGTTCAATTAAACACTTAAACATGTTAAATTGGGTTAATGAAACCCAAAAACCGGTAAATAACCTGTTATTACAGGTCATTTCAATTCCGGCGACGGATTCCGGTCACCGGCGCCATTTTCCGGCCGTCTTCCACTGGATAACTAGTGCTGGACCAACATTTATAGGTAAAAAATGCTCCAAAGCGGTGCCAATTCCTAGTACAAATCAAACATATATACACGCGAGCCAATTCCGAGTACAAATCAAACATATTCACACGCGATCCAGTGCAGCAACTGAATGTCTGGTTTCAAAACCTTCATATCATTCCATTGTGATAGCTTCATAGCAAATTCATGAAAAGAATGTGATCTCCATATTCCAAAGCTCCATACTCACACCAAAACAATCTTATCTACATAACTATATTAACCAATCGGATCTCATACCATTCACTAACCTCCATGTATTCACATTGGACAACAATATTATCCTTACAAAAACCATTCATTAATCCATCAGAAACCTATGACTGCCATTTTTGTATGACAAACTAACCAGAAAACCATTCATTAATCCATCAGAAACCTACGACTCTAATGGAGAAGGTGGCCGTCCGGTCGTCTTCTCCCGTGGAAGACGACCGGACGGCCGGAAAATGTGGCCGGTGGCCGGAATTCGTCACCGGTGGCCGGAATCCGTCGCCAGAATTAAAATGACCTGTAATAACAGGTCATTTACCGGTTTTTGGGCTTCATTGACACAATTTGACATGTTTGAGTGTTTAATTGAACTTTTTTAAAGTTTAGGGACCTAATTGACCTTTAGGGTAAAGTTTAAGGGCTTATTTGACCCTTTTCTCAAATAAATATGAAATATGTGTATGTGTATTGCGTTATGCGTTTCTGTGTCTCGTGTTATGCAATTTTGTACCTTAAACGTATGGATTCTGTACCTAAAATAGATTAGTAGTTATGAAACTAACGCCACAACAATCCTAGCACCCTTGGGAGGTTTAAGGAAAGTGTATGCTACACATGACTTGGTCTTCCTTTCTTTTGTTTGGTTGGGTTTATAATCTAGATTTATAAAATCCTATTTTCGTTATTTATTTTTATATAAATAAATTTTGATTTCATACCAAGCGTTGTAATTAATTTTTCCTAAAAATTATATCCTTTTATTTATAAATATAAATAAATAACTATATATATATATATATATATATATATATATATATATATTGAATTCGGTGCACACCCCATAGTTAGCCGAGTCCATGAGCACACTCCCTGATCGTTGATTAAAATATTAATCAGATTTAAATTTTACACTAAATTTCCTAAAATACTCACAAACCGTTACTAATTCCGTTAAAATTTTAAGAATTGCCATTAGTTCACGGTTAACTTACTCATTGATTTCAATAAAAATAAATAAATAAATAAATAAATAAAGGTCTTAGGTTCGAACCTCATCCCAATCAAAGTTGGCATAATTAGTACTCTATTTTACTCTTATTAAATTATATAAATAATAATTTAGTAGTTACAACAAAAAATAATACATATGCATTTCTTTAATTTAGAATTATGTGTCCACAATGCCTTTATTCAAAAAAAAAAATATTCATTATCAATAAATTAAATAAGAGAAATAATTTTATTAGTTATATTGTCTTTATTTTTCTTCAATATAAAAATTCTTTATATTCAAATTTATTAATTGATTATATTCGCTACATTGTCCTTACAATGTCTTTATTCAGTGAAAAAAAATTATTAATTATCAATAAATTAATTAAAAGAAATATTTTCATTAGTTAAATTGTCTTTATTTTTCTCAAATGTAAAAATTTTTACATTCAAATTCATCAATTGATTATATTCACTACATTATCTATTATGTTTTTTGTGCACTATTTTTCTAATTAAATATCAAAGTTATAATACAAAATAATGCTATATATTTATTTACCAAGTATTTTATTAATACTATGAAAAAATTAAAAAAAATATAATTAATAAAGTCAACCATATTAACTACTTTGAGAGATTTTGTGACAAAGAGAGTATTCAAATCACACAACAAATTGAAGTGAGAACTACCTCGCAATGTCCTTGTTTGACAATCCGTAGTTAGCGGATTATACTAGCGAATTTGACCAGCGAATTTATTTAATTATTAACATTGGGTAGAAAAAAATGACCGCCAAATTATTAAATCAAATGAAATGGTTCATATTGTTCAGGTTATAATTTTTTTCTTTTAAGATTTTCTAATTTATCCTTAATTATATGATTATCCATTTAACTTTTCCGTTAATTCACCGTTAGTCTAATTCTAATATTAAAGTTTAATATAGAATTATAACTACACCATTAATCTAATTCTAATATTAAAGTATTAATAGAACTTAACCACAAATCCTAATGTCGGAATCTCCTCAAACAATATTAGTATATATTTAATATTTTATGCCCTAATTTTTATGTGTTCTCCCTTATGTCTCGTATTTGGTTTCAACTATACCTATACAATTATTTTATTAACAATTATAATCAATCTTGATTATATTATCTTGCATTTGTAAACTGAGAATTACCTATTTAACCCGCACGGGCTTAGCTCAATGGTTTAGTGGGTAGTATTTGGGAGAAGAGACCAATGTTTGAACCTCGGCAGCGGCAGTGCGAGAATTATGTCCAAAGTGGGCAGATTCCTTGTGCGTATCAGCATTTGGCCCTGTCTACTGAGCCATTGAGTCAACGCGATTTACAACTTCCCACAATGCTCTGTCGGGCCGGAGTGTGGGGGGCCCTTGGGGTTGAGGACTCAACCTTTGGGAGAAGAATTACCTATTTAAATACGCAAATTAAACCTTCAATTATCTATGCATGAACAATTTCAATATAATCCTGCCTTAATATACTTTAAAGTACTTATTTAAAAAAAAAAAAAAAAAAAAAAACATTGGGCATTCTCCCAATCGCGCAATGCGCGTAAAAAACTAGTATATATATATATATATATATATATATATATATATATATATATATATATATATATATATATATATTTTGAATTCGGTGCACACCCCCTAGTTAGCCGAGTCCATGAGCACACTCCCTGATCGTTGATTTTAATTTTTTGACGATTCAAATTGATTACCACTTGGATCCCATGTTATACTGATTTTAGATGAAGCATGGGTCTTTTTGTCCTTAAGCACTATATTTATTACTTTCCATTTCATTTATTTCCATGTTTATAAAGATTTGTAGCATTATTTCAGCTCTCCTTAATCAATATTTCTCTCTCTCTCTCTTAGTAATTTTCTTTGGAATTTTACGGCGGTGTGTGCGTGTGTGTGGAATGGTGTGTGCGTTTACTGTAACATGGCTCATACACCATGACGTGATGGTTTTTTTTTTTCATAAAATTATGCGTTTTGGTATGTGCGTTTCATGATACAGGCATGTACATTCTGGTTTGTGTTTTACTAGTTTCGGGCGTGTGCGAAACGTAGATATAGTATTGGGCTTGTTGTGTTTTTTTTTTAATTGTGGGGAATTTTATGATTGTGTGTGCGCGGGTGTGGAATGGCGTGTGCGGTTTTCTATAACAGGAGGTGTACACCATGGCAAACTATAAAACGCACACACCATTCCACACCCACGCACACACCGCCGTAAAATTTTCCATAATTTAAAATTTCAGATGTATAAAATATAATCAATTATTACCATTGATAGGGTCCCTAATAATTTAAAATATCAATTTCCATTCATAATCTCCCTAATATAATGCTTAAGATTCCAATTGAATTATATCCACAATTAAACATATATCTACAATTACTATTTAATCCTTTTGATTTAAATATATCCTTAATTACTTTCAAAATTTCTTATAATCTCAACCATTTATGGAAAATGAATCAATGGATATCATGAGATCTCATCTAGTATAGTGGTTGCACCAGATTCGAAGCCTATATATATATATATATATATATATATATATATATATATATATATAATTGCACTCTGGTGCGAATGGAGCGCCCAGGTGCGAATATGCGAATGCCTGATATCCGTCAACGTGTCCAGATCTAATGGATGAGAAACACTGATTTTAAAGAAAAACGCGGTGACATTTTCGTAAATAATTGAACATCGAAGTGCAAGTAAAATGTTGTACAAGTGCATGTAAAATGTATTATAGGTGCAAGTAAAATTTACACTGAGCATCAATACTAAGTGCACATATAGTTATAAGTAGTTGCACCTAGGTGCATGAATGTTTGTGGGTGCTAAACGATGCCAAACAGTACGAACTCAGATCAATGAATGTTAACAAGGCAAAATTGCATGCACTTGCACACGAAAGTAGGTACACTTGTAGGTGAAAGTAGGTGCACCCGATCAATGAATACGGACACGTGGCGTGC